TACTCTTCACTCGATAACCCGAGGGAATGGCCCGTGACGTAAACCAACAACTCATGTGAAAATCAATACTCTACTCACCAACCCGACAGTATAGCTACGAATATTACCCTCGATCAGCGAAACTATTCCAGGAACACCCGCCCCAACTCGACGATCGGGCACACGTAGCGGTAACCACCAACTATTGAAGCGTGTCTCACATTTCTTTATCCTTATCCCCCGGGCTAACTCACTACTCCGTCGTTGGCGTTTTACATTACCCTGTTCTTTATAAGTCCCACCACCACCACCACACGACCATTGTACCTCCGGACCGCCGCGTCGAGGGAGTTCACCTGACACGGGGACGACCTCAGCCACCGCGGATCGGTAGATTGGGCTCGATCTCACTTGAAAGAAGAGGCGGATGTGATTTGACGGGTGTTGTTTTGTGGTGTCTGGGGTTCTTTGTTCCCCGCCGTGGCTGGAACGAGGTGGGTTTTGGACTGACTCGGTGGGTTATTAGTGATTATCGAGGATAGAGAACAAAAAAGCATAATGAAATAAGGGTGATATTGATCATAAAGACTTGGAACATATATTATTCAACAGCGAGGGGATTTAGCATGTCTAGACAGGTCGACTGATTCGATCAGCCGAGGTAACTCACGCCACTACAATACTGTGTACATATCGACTGTACTTCTTCACATTCAACCGATTATGTATATATTATGAATTGATCACAAACATTACTTCAAGTAGTAAAGGATGGAGTAAATAGTAAATAATAAAAATGATCAATCATTACTCCATACTCCGAGGTAGCATCAACAGTCGGAAGGTCTCCCCCTCCCGCGAAACTCTCGATCGAACCCACCGTACCGGTCCTTCTCCACCGCCCCTAAACCCCTAGGCTGACCCGAGGAAATTGGATTCATTTTGGGGACGGCAAAAGCACGATCGACGCGTCTTTTCATCTTTTTTTTTTTTTTTTTTTTTTCTTTTTCTATTTACTCCGTATTATTTTGACTATTGACTCGTCTCTTCTCTCCACGGGTAAGCTCTCCGCGGCCGGCGGAAGGGGGGCCGGCCGCCGTCAGGGAACCGGTTGATTGTCTGGCCCCTTTTGTTTGACAATAGCTAGGGAGGGGTTTGTTTGTGTTTGCCGAGGTTGTTTGCCCACCATATCTGTTACAGTGTATCCGTATCTCCGTAGGGTGGTAACATAGCATGCTGATTGAGCTGAACTTAGGAATATGATACTTATCTGGAATAAATGATACAGGACGTACTTCGTAGGCGATGGATACAACTAATCAATATTGTATAGGGCAAAATCGATCGATCTCCCATGATGCCGGGTCGCACCCTGCATTTCCGCCGGCAGCTTGACTAGCTCCATGCAGCCTGATATATTAAGCCATTTGCATGGGACAATCCATTCTATCTGTATCCACCGTGCATCATCTCGATTTGTCGAGTGTCTGGACTGGGCTATTGTTTGTATAGTATATTGTTGATGTGTCTCGATATTTGTGTATAGGTCATGAGCATAGGGTATTTGTGTGGTTGTACTTTGTATGTTTATCTATCACAGATGAAACTGGTGATTGGGAGTCTCGTGTATAGCTGTGCTGAGACTGGAGGCCCGACCGTGGGTTTCTCTCTGTGTGAGTAAGTACCACCTCAGCGATCTACAACCAAGCAAGGCAATCATTCCTCTCTACTTGTTTGTGTATCTGTCCTCACCCTAGATGTACCCAGCCAGGAGCTCAAGCCCAACAAGCAGAGCTCAGCAGGAGCTTGGACCCCGCGGGACCAGACCACACCAGACCACACAGACCACACACAGACGGGGATAACTCTATATATATCCCTCCACATACAAACAAGAAGATTCAGTTCAAGAAATACTTCACGGAGCCGGGATTGTATTCCGGTCTCACCTCCATATTCCAGTATTAAGCAGGTTGCCACCCCCTCTCTCCCTCTCTCTCCAGTCTCCACCCCTTGCTCGTTTCCCCCAGCATGCTTTCCGGTCATCCGCTGAACTTACACCCACATCATACATACCTATCCTTCCCCAGTTCCCGGTTTCCTCTCCCCAGAGTGGGGCGGGGGGCCCAAGGGAGACGGGGTCGAAGGGGGGAGGGGCCGAAGGGGCGGTATGTACGGGAGAGTATTTACATATGTAGGTAGGTAGGTCTATCCGCAGAACAGTAAGGAGAGACCCGGAAGTAGGATTCCTTTTCCGCCAGTACCGTGCGCTCCAGTCCAGTCTCCACTGAGATCGGGACGGGGACGGGGAAGGGGATGAGATGGAATGGATGGGGACCGGGGAACGGGGGACTGGGTCTGGGTACATCACACTACTGTACATACGTATGTACGTACATTCCTGGATTGGTTTATTGGGGTTGTGCATGTGTGGGTCGATCTGGTCTCGTTGCGGTGTGTATATTGTATATATGTGTCTGGGTGGGTCGGATTATACTTCCTGGGTTTGGGGTGCTGGTTTCCCCGGTCGATCGGTCTGGATGGGTTTCTGTTGGTTTGGGGATCGCACGGGGATGTACGGTGTAAGGTGTACTTCGTACGGAGGACTACCTGTGGGTATGTACAATGTGGTTGTGTACGTGTGTCTGGATGGTGGGATACTTTCTGGTGGTGTCCTGCTTTCTACTGGATTGTCATTGTTATGGTTTATGGCTCTTCTCTCACAACTCTTTCTGACATTAAGTGTTTATAATACTCTTTATATGTCTTTATAGTTATCCATGCTGTTAGTACATTCATATAGTATGGAAATATATATGGTAAACAGTCGAAACACAGAAGGGTAAAGTACAGTGGCGCATATATCTAGACTGGTCTGGATGCTGTGATCGGCACTGCAGAATCAATTTGCCTCCGGATCGCTTTCCATCAGCCACAATGCTATTTTCTAGACAATTACCTGTCTTAATCTCATTACTACCTGCATCAAATGATTTTGTTTGGGGCGATATATCTATATTTGTCTTTTGTGGAGTTTGCGACCGATACGACGTGGTCTGAGTTCAGGTTGGTTTCTGTCTGACTGCGACTGCGACTGCGACCGCGACCGCGACTGCTACTGTCTGTCTGATCAAATCATTTAGCCTGTGCTATCGTATAATCCCTTCCATCCATCAATGGTGCTGATATTGCACAATCCGGGGAGACACGCGCATCATCATGGGGAGTACATGACAGATGACGAGCGTCTGAGCATGTGCGACATGAAGATAAGCTGAGGTCAGTGTATGTACCGGTACATCTTGACCCGTTGTCGCTGATTGGATCTTGGATCTTTCTTCTGAGGTTATATTATTGATGATTCTCTTAAGTTGTCGCAGTCATGGATACATCCAGATAAGCCATCGGTCAGTCATCAACCAACCGACTCGACTCATCGGGGCGTCCGTTCATGGATCTCACTACCACCTCAGTCTCCAGTCATCTCGCCTAGTCCTATCTGATCCTTAAACCAATCAGTCTCGCTAATCGATCAACGTGCCGATATACCACCGACCGACGGACAGCCTGAGCCTCAACCCCCATGTAACCCCCCTTCATAACCCAACACGAGGCCTATCCAGCATCGAATGGAATCCCCGAGAATGCCAGGCTATCACCAGATAAGGCGGCCCTTCCCCACTGGCCACGGCATGGCCACGGTCGTCCGTCCGGATTCGAGAACGTTTCCATCGCTTCAATCCTGGCCGCCACTACAAATCCACTGCTATGGTGTGATCGGCTCTCCGCGGTTATATTAGGTGATGTGAAACTGAAACACTGAAACTGTGACCGCGGGGTTCTGATCCTGGTTCCTTTTTATTTTATTTTCTAGCAGGATTCGGTGATTATCAATTCAGAAGACCAAAAGGGAAAAAAAAGAAAGGAAGAAAGGAAGCCTTTACTTCACACCGACATTACACCGACCACTGTCTATCAAATCTACTAATAATATCCGGCAATCATCTCTCCCGTCAGTCACATCCATCTGGCGGTGACAAGACGGCCCGTTCCCCGTTTATTCTAACCCAGTCACACCGTTTTGATGCGAGATGATTATGCCTTGGCGTTGGTGTGACAACCTATCAGTGGTTGGTTGGTCTGTGTTGACCCGCGGATAAATCAATCCTTTTACTCATGGGGATGGGGAAATCCATTCTGGCTCTACCGGTCTGACTCTGCCGCTTCGGCTCTTTCTAGCGGGTTGGCTGGTTGGTTGGAGTGTTTAGGCTGTTGACGCGTCTTCTTATTTATCTATCTATCTATTGATTTCTTTTAGATTATTATCTTTGTCGTTTATCCTCTTCAGTTGGGTTTCTTGATGGAGATCGGCCCGTTGACCGGTGGGGTTGCGGTGGGGATACAGCGTGGAGTCTGAGATTGCCGTGCTTGATATCGCTATCGTGCATTATCGATATTGTATCGTTTAGAGCAGGGCTAGTCGTTATTGGCGGAGTTGAATTATTCCATTGAATTTCCGTCTAGCTGGTCTACCCTACTGTTAAGTTGTCTTACACGATCTGATACATTTTGATAGTCCAGTATATTGTTGCTTGAGTAATGGTATTATTCTGAAGGGTAATAGGCTTCAAGATATACGGCTCTAGATTGATTTCATACTGCTTTTACATGAGAACAGTTCATTCAAAGATCTTATGAGATCAGTATGGCTATATTTGTCCTTCTAGATTGTTCCAGCCAGCTCTACTCACATCTCTGCATAAGATGCCTTAGACACTATCTATGAAGTGAAAGCTATATCCATACTGGATTATATGGTATACTCGACAATGACATGGTCATTCAGTCTACGTGGCTGGTGTAGTATGTTGAGTTGATGTCTTTATTCATAATGGTCTTAACCACTACTAATCCGATCTATCTCATTCTACTATAGTCGTTGTCTCTGTCATTCATTCTCCTTGAATAGCGTGTTCTCATTGTCGCTGTCAACGCAATCCCTTTTCTAGACTACGTCAAACTCATACAGACGATCCTTTCAGTTTCCTAATAATGCAGTAAATGGTTGCGATTGATAAACTCAAAGATGGATTACTACTAACTCAAGACACCACATCACTTTACTATGAAATGTGCTCATTGAGAGTCCACCCCAAAAGAGCACAACAACCCAGAGTGATCACTCCACCACACCATAGAATCATCATCTCCCTCCTCACCATCCCCCAACACGCCCTGCCGCTCCCCCTGGCTGCTCATCGCGCATCTACCCGGTCGCATAACCTCAATATCATGCCCCCTCAATCCAACCATCGCCACCTTATCAAGCCGGTTCGCCGGAAACCGCTGGACGCGATCCGCGCCCCACGTAAACCCATCTTCCTCCGGACGGAGATCAGCCCATACGTCTTTAAGCTCGTTGGTGCCGATCAGCGCGTCATCTTCAGGAAGGACAGGGTTAAAGTCACCCGCTACGACACCGCGTCCGGCCGCGCGAAGGTATGATGCTATGATTGAGAGCTGGATTGGTCGTTTCGATGGCTGAATAGGGAGAGAGTCCAGATGCACGTTGATGAGCCGCACGCGGGAGAGAGGTGCAGAGCCAGAGGGGAGGAAAATGTCGCAGCAGAGGGCGTCTCTCTGGAATCGACTGGGGTATTTGAGGCGCCAGACTGGACCGAGTGCGCTATCTCTGAGCTTTGATTTTGAGACAAGCGTCATGGTTGCGAAGGGTCCGGCGCCCCAGTTGGTCGTGTCTGCTTCGCTGGAGTACCAGTGCTCGCGGAGCCAGGGTGTGGCTAGTAATGTGGACAGAGCTGTTCGTGAGACTTCCTGGAGGAAGATCACGTTGACGAGGGGAGCTGAGGCCTGGAGATGCGATATGATTGATGAGATACGCGTTGCTGAGTCGGGTGCGCCGGCGTCGACGTTCCATGTCGCGAGGACTAGCTTTGAGTCTTGAGCTGGGGTGGTATCTGCGGTACTGCTTTCTTCGGAGGGTTTGTGCGGACTGTCAAGAGGAAGCCATTTGTTGGAAGAGGTGTCGAATTGATGCCATGATTGGAAGATTGGCGATGTGTTGGTCTCTAAGGTTGGTAGAGGAATGCCGTGTCTCCATTCGAGAACTCGGTTGCGGAGTTGAGAAAAGACGCTCATTTTGAAAAGTACAGTAGATGCTTCAACTATTTGGTTTCAGAGTGAAGAAGAAAGGTTGATAAATAGGCTGAACTGGGGCTGTTAAAGCTAGAACCTCGGGAAGGTTGATGACCCATCTGTCATCATCGTGACCCTTCTGCCTGATGACTGTCCGCCATGTGGGATCAACCAGCCTTGTAGATCTTGTAGCCACAATGCGCAATCGAATTTACTTGGGCTTCGGTATAATCATCACATGCCAATCCAGACCCTGACTATACATCTCTGTAGTCACTCAACTACATACCTCTACCAACCACACCAATCCAAGACAGACTTAATGCTCAATAACTCGACTGATCATTCCAATAAAGTGTATCATGCAACACCTCCGGCCCCGTCGCTTCCATCTCCCACCCAAACTTGATCTTCACCCACTGCATCAGATGGGAAGCAACCTTGATTTGGCCCACATCTGTCGGATGCCACTGCGGCCCAATGTCATTGTGCTGCAGGATCCCTGTTGTATCAAAGTAGTGCACGAATTTGTCTTCCTTGTAATGCTCATTCACGGCTTTGATCTCGTCGATGTAGAGCGCGCCTTGAGCGTATGTGTCTCCGACCTGGCCGAATCCTCCCCATAGCGACTTTTTCTGTCAGTACAGATTGATGGTGACAGAGCGGGGGTACATACCATCAAGACAACCTGCGCTTTGGGCCATCTCTCGTGCACGCCGTCAATGAGGCTCACGTAGCTGTTGACGTAGTTTGTGCCGGACACGTTGTTTTCGGTGTTGTTGTCGTTTGTCCCCAGATTGATGACGACTAGGTCTGCCGCGCGATGCGCCGCAAAGTCCCATTTTGGAGGATCCTCGCCGTAGAGTGCTCGTGCGCGTCCGGAGGTGTCTACCGTGCGGTACCATTGGTATGCCTTTCTTGTTAGTATTGGTTGTCGGTTGAAGGGGTCACTCACTTGGCCTCGTTCATTTCCCCAGCATTCCTGGTCGTGGAGACAGATTCCCGGAAAGGCCTACACAGTCAGCTGGCTCTCCGTGCTGTGAATGTAGTACATACCGTGATTGAATACTCCGCATTGCCTAGACCGGCTGCAAATGTGTACGCCCATGATGAGAGCCCTTCGTACGTACCGTATTGTCCTGCGCTCAGTCTGTACATCATTAGGTTTGAATTGATGTGTGAGCTGAGACATACGAATCGCCAATAATCTCGATCGTCTTCGGGTACTCCTTCACCTTGGTGAGGGTGGAATTGGCTGCCACGGATACACCTGCAAGCTGCACAGTATCCGTATGTCAGCAGAGTCGATGCATGGGGTGTAGGTGTAGGAGACTTATCCATAGGCCCAGTTTGTCACTATTCCGTTAGCAATTTTATTCCTTGAATAATATGGTAGGAATCGAACCTCTCATTTCAAACGTCTTCGCCGCAGTCGGAGCCGTCGGGTGCACTTCCATAGACGAATGCCCCGCAAATTGATATGTTGCGTTGGCCGTAACGTTGGAAAATTGCCAGTCGAGACCTCCGATTCTATCCAGTTAGACTTTTTCGGGACAGGCCGTAGTATCAACATACCGATAGGCGACGAGGACGCCTTGATCGGTATTCTTGCCGAAGCTTAACGCCAGCTAAACACATCAGTATACCCTACGACATTATCTTCCAGTGTATACCTTGTCCCCAGTAAACCCGAACTTGATACCCGGCGCTCTGTAGATTTTAGCCAAGGCCAATCATGAATTTCTTAGTAACTCACGACCACCCTATCTAAGGTCAGACATAACTCCCTTTTGGTAGAGATATAACTAACACGAGATATGCCGGTCATCCCAGCGCCCCTTGTACGAGATCTCCGCCGCATCGGGCTTGTACGTTTTCCATCCTTTCTCCCCGATAGACACCTTCTGGGCTTGTCCAGGGTATGGGTTCTCCCTGATCTGGCCGTTCTCGAGGATGGTGGCCGAGGCGGAGAGGAACAATAACAGCAGCGAGAGTATGATTTTCATCTTGCTAGCAGCTAGCGACTTGAAGAATCTTGCCCATTCAATCCCCTAAGATATCTCGATCTTTTATTTATACCCTTCCGTTCATCCGGACATTTGCTTGTTATATGTGACACGTGAGCCTGTCCACGCTAGCTAGCCCAGGATCAGATATTGGTTCTTCATCATTTCATCCGGAAAAATTGCGGGCTAGCTGCATGAGGATGCCAGTGTGGGGTTTAAGTAGGAGAAGTTTGTCAAACAGGATACACTTATTAGCTATAAGATCTAGTTATCGGACATCCGTCCGTGCTATATTCAGCTAGCTGCTCGGTATGTTCTGCCGAGTCTGTCCTGCAATATGAACCGGAGGCAGTTCTTCCAGATTTATGAGACAAGCTAATTTGAAACATGGGGTACTACATGATATGATCAACATCTAAAATGCCAAGTATATACCTGAAAACGGTCGTAGAGTAGAATGAGGTACAGTATGATAAACCATCAAACACATCTAGCTTAGATAGCAGTAGTAAAATAGGATAAGTAGAGACTAAGTATAGAGTATGAACGACAACAGAAAGTTATCTGAACTAGTCCACTATCACCTTATGGCTTCTATAAGGACTTAAGCTCCTGTAGTATATGGCGTGCCTGGCTCTTTCCCTGCATACCTTCTACCTCGATGTATATACAGTTTTTAGCCATATTTGTAGAATAATAAGCTTCTTATCAAGTCCTTCTGTTCTGCATATAGCTATGCCGCACGTAGCCTCTGTATTTAGTCTGCACAGGTGCTTAACAGTTTTGATATCAATATAATCAACACATCAACATACATATCAGATTCCTAAAATTCCATATCTGTAACCTTACTTGATCTGGCTATGTCAAGTGAAGATGAGATGAGCTCATTCCTACGTGAATGTTCAGGTAACCGACAAGCGCAGTGACATCAACAACGATAACAGCAACAGTGATTGCATAAACATATCCCAATATGGACATCAAACCTTCTTCCAACTTCATCTCTTGCAACAATTGACCATCTCTCCTGCACGACTAACCTTCATCATGTCCTTTTCCCCCCTTGCCTGTCTGGCGTCTTGGGTATCCCATCGCACCTGCACAATGAGCAGCACCGCCCTACAAGAGAAGCGAAGACATATCTACAAAGATCTCGTCAACCTGCACGAGAAGCTAGAGAATGTCAATGGTCCATCCTGCCCTCACTCTGTTCTGGAAGTCATAGGTATCCACGATGTCCTCGTCAATATACTCCCCACCTCCCTCCCCGAGTTCAGCCCGGTCTTCTTCATCCCCCCGAATAGAGATTTCCATCTCGAGACGCCGTACCCTCGCTCTACCCAGATCTCGCAGACTCATGGCGAAGAAGACAACGCTAGCCCCCCGAATCTGAGATACCCTTTCCTCCTGCATCAAGCAGATAACCGGCTGGCCAATACTGTAGTTCCGAGGTGGTCGTCTGTGACGGGGTTCACTTCATTCCGAAACGATGGGTACGCTTCCGTTCTTCCTTCTGTCTCTCCCTACCACCATATTCAATTCATCTCGCTAACAAACAGAAATAAGCGCAATCACAAAAGAAAAATGGTCCCTCCGGGACGAACTCACCCTATACCAGGTAGACAGCGCCTCTCACTGGTGGAGGGTGTCCGAAGTGCTCGAGTGTCCCCACCATACCCATCCCCATGTCGTCTTTGACTTGGCTTCCACGGAGGATGCGCAGTCTGATGAGCAGTCGAGCCTCGTGCTGCAGCTGAAGGTTGGTGAGATTAAGTCGATTATTCGGATAATGAGGATTGCCATGGAGAGGGAGTATAATCGGGAGTGTTTGGTTGTGCCGGTATGTTTGCTCGCTTCTTCTTTTCTTTCCCTTCTTCCTCTCTCCCCTTCAATGCAATGCTAACGAAATAATATAAAGGTCCTCGTCCTCTCTTACACACCTCCCAACTACGGCCGCATCATTCAAGCCCACCACACCGGCTCAAACCTCATCATCCAATACACCCCGCGCATCGCCTTCGACGACCCGGCCTTTTCCCCTGCGGAACTCTTCCTGCGCTATTACTGCAGTAAGCCAGTACTTCCACTGGGTGGTTTGGATCCGTGGAAGGCGAACTAGGGTCCGTAGTTTGGGAATGGACGTACTTGCTTGTTTACTTGTTTACTTGTTTACTGCTGGGATGGGGATACATTCATTGATTATATTGGTTGGATGTGTGAGCGGAATTCTGGTTAGGCGTTTCACGTGGATGTTAAGGTAAGGTATATGGAATGGAATGATACTTCCTTGGGTCTGGGTCTGTCTGGGCTGGGTTGGAGTAGGGTTTGGGGTTGATATAAGGTTGGATTTGTCCGTCGGTATTGGTTGGTGTCGATATGTTTGGTCGGGCTGAATTTGTTGGTTGTTTTTCATGTCTTGTCAGGTGTTGATCTCAGTTGTCAATCTATTTTGTTTGGTTTGGTTTACTTGGACGTATGGAGGAAAATGGACTGATCATACTGTGGTTGATATGTAGGGCTATAGCTAGGACTCTCATCGGAGCAAGGTATATGTAGGGCCGCCATGAAGTTTTGACTGCTGTACAATTTGGGGCCTGGCTCGACAACAGCTAATACGCATGAACAGCTACACTCCTACTCCGTTTTACCAAATGAAATTCTCCACATTCATTGCGGCTGTTATTAAATACATACATTCTCTGCACCCCCGTCCATCATAACCCAAAGGGCGTCTTAAAAAAAAAACGAAAAGAAAACCGATAACAAGAAGTAGAAAAACTAGAAAAACACGTCATGAAAAGGAAACAAGAGGTCCTCCGTCAGACTCGACGGAATGGTATCATAAGCGCTCAGGAGATCTCCGCCATTCCCATATCCTCTCCACCGTTGGCGGCAGGCTGGGCGTTGCCGTTAGGGGCGGCACCCTCGGCGGGGTTGGAGTTCTCCGTCGACTGGAAGTAATCGACCATCTCGGCATCCAGCTCCTCGGCCGTCTTGGGCTTGGGGCGGTTTGCACGACCGCCAGCAGCAGCTCCGCGGCGGCGACCGCGACCACCACGCCCGCGCGTGGCTCCGGCAGTCTTGGTGGCTGTGGCAGGCTTCGGCTGGGGCTTGTTTTGACTGTAGAAGATGAGCAGTTGTTCATTTGTAAATCAGGGGAAAACTTACATCACGCGCTCACCGAGCGGCTTCGGTGCGGGAACGTTGGGAGCGCTAGAGGCATCAACAACAACCTCAATCTGGAAGAGTTAGACTATGGATACAGGTATACAAGGTAAGGGATCCCACCTTCATGGGTCTTCCGTCAACGAGCAGTCCATTCAAATCCTTCGCAGCCTTGGCCGCAGTCTCGGGCTTGCTGAAAACGATCGAAGCGATGCCTCGGCTGGTGCCGTTCTGGTTGTAGGTGAGCATCACCCGCTTCACGGGACCTGCAGATTGTGTGAAGTAATCCTAAACACGAACCGAATCAGTAATCGAGCTCAAGAATTCAACATGAGATCGGTATCTGGCATAAACAGAACATCGAAGCGTAGTAACGGCCCCAAGTCGACATGAGCATCAGCGAGAGCACAGCGTGGTTAGTGTTAGTAGAGCCGCGCCTCTACCAAAAAAAACCCATAACCCCATACAACAGCCACCCATCAAGCAATCCGACCGTGCGTAAAGCATCCAACAAAAGTGCAATATCCTGCACCCCAATCCTCAATGAGTTCACAACTGCCCACCGCCCAAGATGTTCTCGCTCCAATGCACAGGACGCGACATGCTTGGAACACCCCAGTTCCTGTGTGCGGCAATAGAATGAGCTGGACGCATTCCCAGAGCTAGACGCATTATCCCAGAAGCTCCCGAGAATCTCTAAAGAGCGGGAGAATTGGCATGGGTTCACCCCAAAGTAATAATGTCTCCGACTGCAAGAAAAAGGCATTCGCCATGTGCCGTGCGTGATGGATGCTCCGTCAAGTTTCCCACGTATGCTTGAACTACTGTTGGTCTGCTGGTGCGCTCGCTGATGCCCGTCATCCGCGATGCGCTGAGGAGACATGGCAAGACGGGACGAGAGAGGTATGGTGTATTTCAACCAGGTTGGCACAGTCCGCAGCGCGAGCACGCGGGGATCGTTGATCAACCCGTCGTGCAACATGCGCTTTTTGCTGGACTACGACAGAGCTCAACTTCGTAGACAATCGCCTGTCTGATCTGGCGGGCATGATTTCCGAAGGAGCTTCTGTCTGTGCGAGACACCGTCACAGGAGATAAGGTATATGTATCGCGTGTGGCAAGGTCGTGATACGAATGGAGGCCGTTTGCGCTCGATAATCTCGACGAAAGAACATGGCGATGGAAACCCAAGGCGAAGGCCTCTCGATCAACATACCTTGATATTGGCCTCATTCACATCGGCCGGCTGTGTCGCGTTAGCATGTATTCAGCGTGGATTGAGATGAAACGGAGAAAACTTACCAAACCGCTGACCATGATTTTACTCTCAGTCACTCTAGGTCGTCCATTGTGGTGGACGGGCTTTGCAGCGGTCTTGACCGCCTTCGTGTTCTTCTTCACTCCGCCAACAGCAGGGGCGGGCTTGGGGGCAGCCGCGCGGCGACCAGAGCCACGACGAGCGCCCTGGCGACGGTTGACGAGGATCTCGTCGAGCGACTTGTCCAGCTTACCCGACATGTTGATTCGAGATGAATAGAGCAATGGAACACGAGTTGGCAAGTTGGCAAGTTGGCAAAGCTGAACTCCGTACGTGAGTCCAGGTGTGGCGTTGCAAGATTGGTAGCAACGGAAGGCAGAGTCCGAGAGTCTGCTTCAAAAGGTTGGATCAAAAACACTGATCAGTAAAGATGGATGATTCGGTAGATAAGTAACCACGCGATGATGAATAACGCGATGCGGGATGATGGAGAAACAGAGGGAGAAGGAGGAATGGGAAGATAAGCAAGGGTGGAAAGATGGGAAAGGACGGTCACGGGATGAGTGACTGAGGCCAGGTTACCGTTTGACGCTAGGCCGGTTTCGGAGAGCGATCTGTATTATGTAATCGGTGCTTTGTCTGACACTGGGATGACAAGTTCATGGGTATCAATGGAAGGAGAATAGTGGTATCTATGAAGGAGTAGAATTCTAATTTAGTATTCAAGATATGATCGAGTGACACTGACTCCTTAAGACTATCCAGTCTAGGAGGTTGACCCAGAACTTCTTATCAAGCACTTATATATATCTGAGCGGGATCAAGAGCCTCTAATGCGCAACGCAAGGATATACAGAATCAAGTATATAACTTGAACTCTACGATAGACAAAAAAATACACTCAACAGTCTAACACGGCAGCCGATGTTCTTGATATTTACCACTATTATAAAGCGCATAACAACAGACCACTAGGATGTGAATAAGGACCGGCCTTTATAAGATGTATCAAACAGAAACAGTTGCACCGCCAAACTCCCATACAACACAAGAACTCAACAGGGGGAGAAAAAGAAACCAAAGTTCCTAACCCAGTGCCGACGCTAGCTCTTCAAAGCTTCCAGCCGGTCCCGCATCTCTCCCAAAGTGGCTTGACGAGACTCGAACTCCTCCTCGTCCACCTTCGGCTCTTCCACCGGCGGCTCCGTAACGGGTCCTTGGGCTTGCGACAGCTTACCCTGGAGGATCTCCTGCAGCACCTTGTCGACTTCTTCCTCCGCTTCGTCGTCCTCGCCTTCGTACAGTTCGCTGTTCGGCATCGCATCGTCCACTATCTCCTCGATGATGCCCGCCCGCACCAACTCGGCCGACAGATGATGCATGGTCGACGACAACTCCGGCAGACGGACCAGCGTATTCACGTCTTTCATGATCCCCGTCGATTTCTTGAGACTGCCTTGGATCTTCCGCACCGCGAACGCCTCATTGACCTGCATCTGGACGCTTTGGAGTTGCGCGCGGCTCGTGTTCAGACGGGTCGATTGTTTGCGGATGCGAACGAGCTCTCGCGCAAAGGTTTTGGTTTCGGTCATGGCCTGCTTGGATTGGGAGGGGTTTCGCTCGGCTCGTTTGGAGGCGTTGATGATGAATTGTCGGGTTTTGCTTTCGAGTTGCCTCAGCTGGGAGATGTCTCGATCTAGCTGACGGGTGTTGGCACGGATGAGTTGGTTGCATTTTCTCATCTGGTTAAGAGGACGGTTAGACAGAACGGGCAAGCAGCGAGTGATAAGCCATACCTGTACCTGCGGATCAGGTCCGAAGAAGACTGCTTTAAGAGTTTCCATGATGGTCGCTCTCGACGGTTGTATCAAATAGGTGGGCTTGAGAGAGGTATGGTATGTGATTTCTCAAAAACCGCGAAATAATAACCAGAGGGTTCTGACAAGTGAGCAGGAGCGTAGGAAGATATCGCAGATCTAGCCTGGGATGGAGGAGGAGCCAAGATAGGCGGGGTACTGTAGTGAATAGGCTCCAGACACCAGCGGACAGCTCCACCGATAAGCAAAGATCAATACCACCCCTCACAGAGACAATGATGCTGCAGTCCACAAACGCTTCTTTCCGGGAGTCAATGGCATCGTTGCCCAAGAGAGCATCGAGAATGAAAGCGTCGATGGGTGGCCAAGCAGTGGACAGTCTGGGCGCTGCTGAGTCATGAGCAAGCATAGCACTGCATAAGTAAGGCGGTGACGTACTGCCCAGGCACTCAGGTGGCAGACTCGCAGACAAACCAGGCAAACGGCGGGAGAGTTCCAGTACATTCTACGTTCACAGCATCACTCGAGGGATCATCCAGCTCCAATTTCACTCTAGCTTTCCTCTCTCCATTCTTCCACCCTCCTCGACCTCCATCATACCTCTTATCAACATCCTTTTTCTATCTTGTTCCTTTTTTTCCAAACTCTTCGTGACTTTACTTCTATCTCATAATGCCTGAAGTCCCCACTCTCCACCCTGAGGGTATGTGCTGTTTCCGTCCCTCATGCTTCCCCGCTTTGTTCGAATGATTTATCTACCATACCATAACATCCCCGCTGTGGGCGATTTTGGCTCGATGATATGATTTGATATTTGCTTTTTACCTATTTGGAATCAACAGCTGATAATTTTTTTTTTCTACAGTCACGTGGGCCCAGCGGTCGTCGTCCACTGAGGCCGAGCGCAACTACCTGTACGTCGACATCAAGGCCCCCGACGTCGACAAGTCCGGTGCCAAGTTGTCCATCACCTCGACCAACGTCTCGTTCTCGGGATATTCCAAGAAGGGCGTCAACTACGATGTCTCCCTCGACCTGTACGGCGAGATCGACACCGAGCACACCAAGGTGAACCACAATGACCGTGAGGTGGAGCTGGTTCTGCGGAAGAAGGAGCTTAAGGAGGAGTACTGGCCCCGTCTGCTCAAGTCGACTCAGAAGGCCCATTTCCTGAAGACCGATTTCGACAAGGTATGCTCTTTGGTTCACTGGTAGAGATGAGGAGATTGCTGACTGGGGAACAGTGGGTTGATGAGGATGAGCAAGACGAGCAACCCGAGGATGACTATGCGAACAACATGGGTGGCATGGGTGGCATGGAGGGCATGGGCGGCGACCAGGGCGGTCTTGGAAACATTGACTTCTCCAAGCTCGGTGGCATGGAAGGTCTGGGCGGCATGGCCGGTATGCCCGGCATGGGTGGCATGCCCGGTATGGGTGGTATGCCCGGCATGCCCGGCGCTGAGGGCGCTGGTGAGGAGGTACGTGATCGGCAGTCCCTTATTCCCAAACCCTCTTCCATCAATGAGTACTGACTGTTTAGGATGATGACGATATGCCGGAGCTCGAGGAAGCCGAGAAGGACGAGGGCTCGGCCAAGTCCAAGATCCAGGAGGTGTCTTAGATGACGATGAAACGATGATGGGCAATATTCGTAGTTGCAGGAACCGTGACGCATGACTCAAATAAGAAGTCAATGAAAAATCCTTGAAAAAAGCGGTGTTATCGACGAGGCTGCCGTGCGTTGTGATATTCGGATGTTCTGGCTGGCGAGTGCTAGTTTTACGCTGCTGCCGACATTTGGCCGGCACATGAGGTAGTACATTATTGGGTTGAATAGCCCGTTATGAATAATAACGACGAGTATTCATGGCTCGTTCGTTCGTTCCCTTACTCCCTAATGACTGTCTTTCCATAGTAACTCGTAAGATCGGATGTGTTCTGTTGTTCTGGTTAGGGCTTGGGCCCATCTGCGACCGTACATTGATCGACATGACGTCGAATCGCCCACAAGATGAATACCATGAGCATAAAAAATAAAATCATAGAATAAATCCGTTTCAACAATATCTAAAGGGAGAGAATAAATACCCAAGTAGAGACCAAGACCCTATACAGCCAAGCAAAACCATCATTGGCGGAGAGCAGAGATGAAATGATTATGTTGGCAACCGCCACACCAAATCAGAATCCGGCACCGAAACCCACTGGAGTGGAGGAACAACTTTGAACTTTGACCTTGAACCTCCCACCACCACCACCGTTTCTTACCTACTGATACCCTTTATACCTGAAAAACCTCCCCACGATCGTTGGTTTTTTGACGGAGTTCGTTGACTCTCTTCTGACGACCGTTGGACGACCTCTGGCAGTCTCTTTCTGTCATTTCCGCTCGTTGATTCCCTGGGACCACCCCACTTACGACTTTTACTCGCCTTATTGTGGGAGCGAGGCTGTCGTCCGCCACTATCGCTGGCGCGTCCCCGTTATTTTATACACAGTTTAACAAGGAAAAACCGCCATCATGCCGCCCAAAAAGCAGCAGAACAATGAGCCGAAGAAGAAGAAGACGGTCGACGACAAGGTTTGTACCGGTCGCATGCTCGTTTCCCCGATGGGATGGAAGGCTAACCATAATTTTGATAGACCTTTGGCATGAAAAACGTACGTAGCCATCATTATCATCAATACCACCGCGAACCCACACCTGCACCTCCCGCCTAAAGGACCCAACTGACGGAGATTTGCCACAGAAAAAAGGAACCCAGGCCAAGAAACAGATCGCTCAGATGCAGGCCCAAGCACAGTCCAACAAGCGACCTGACGAGAAGAAGAAGGAAGCCGAGAGACTGCGGCTCGCGGCTGAGAAGAAGGCCGCCGAGCAGGCCAAGAAAGAGGCTGCGGAGCTGTTCAAGCCCGTGCATGTCCAGAAGGTGCCCTTCGGCGTGGACCCCAAGACCGTGCTCTGCCTCTTCTTCAAGCAGGGCAACTGTGAGAAGGGCCGCAAGTGCAAATTCAGCCATGACCCCAACGTTGAGCGCAAGGCGGCCAAGATCGATCTTTACACCGACTCGCGAGACGTCAAGGCTGCTGAGGAGGAGACGAAGAAGGCCGACACGATAGATAACTGGGACGAGGAGAAGCTGCGCAATGTCATTATGAGCAAGCATGGAAACCCTCGCACGACGACCGAGAAGGTCTGCAAGTTCTTCGTCGAGGCTGTCGAGAACCAGAAGTACGGCTGGTTCTGGACTTGTCCTAATGGGGGCGACAAGTGCATGTACAAGCACAGTTTGCCACCTGGGTATGCCGCCCTTTCTTCTCTTCCCGACGTGATTTTATGTTTCGTTGAACCATACTGATGATTGCAGATTCATTCTCAAGACAAAGGAGCAGCGGGCCGAGGAAAAAGCTCTCATGGACAAATCCCCCCTCAACACCCTGACGCTAGAGGACTGGCTGGAGTCCGAACGGCACAAGCTGACGGGCGACCTGACGCCTGTCAACCCCGAGACATTCGCCGCATGGAAGAAGGGCCGCATGGACAAGAAGGCCGCCGAGGAGCAAGCCCGCAAGGCCAAGGAAGCCACCGGTCGGTCCATGTTCGAAGCCGGCGACTGGCGCGAGGAGGAGGAGAGCAGCGACGAGGAAGAAGACGACGACGACACCTTCAACCTGGAGGCGCTGCGTCGCGAGACGGAGAGAATCCAGGCCCAGAAGGAAGAGGAGCGCCTCGCGAAGATCAACGGCGTCGAGTTACCAGTTGCAGGTCAAGCAGTATAGGGCTGAGCGCCCGCCTGTTGCCACATTCCCAAGATTTACCGAGATTCCGAGATTCTTGGGGCTTTTCGGGTTACGGACCTGTCCCGCTGTTGCAGAGCAGTTGTACCAGGCACATTGTCCGGGCCCGTGGTGTTTGATCAGACGCTGGAAGAGCAATGCAACTGCTGGTTATATTTGGTTGTTTTGAAGACATCCTGAATCGCTTTGTGTGGTTATTCGCGCCTGATGAGCTCTGGGGTTGTCCCCCTCCGGCCCGGCCGCTGCTTGATCCGGATTGAATGAGCCGGAGAGGAAGGCGGAGGGCCATCTGAGGGGGCGCAAGATTGAGATAGATCGTGTGATGATGGATGGGGAGGGAAGTTATGAGTCTATGTTATGCCTGTTAGTAGGTAGAAAACTTTTCGTTGCTAGATCAACTGTTTTCTTTATATTTTCTTTTTGATAGGTGATATGCTGGATTGTATCAAGAGTACTAGCAGATCTGTTGAATGGCACTCCTTAGGCATCATTGAAATACCCTCTCTACAAACTGATACCTACTAGACTGCAGTACAACCATACTACATGCTATAATAGCGACTGATATCTACCGTGAGACATCTGTCTATAACCAAATATAACCATAACTACAAACTATACACTGAAACAATACTACAACGACGCCCTCTGCAATAGCCCATTCCCCTGCACAATATCCAACACATCCCCCGCAACCCCCCAAGACAACTCAAAACCTCTCCCCCCAGCCCCATAAGCATGAACAACAACCTTCCCCTCACCCACTCTCTCCGCCTCAATCCTCATCCCGCCCTCCCTCGCCGGCCGCCGTCCCACAATGTCGCGGATCACGTCGAACTTGCCCCCGCTCTCCGCCGTAAACGGGAACCATTTGGCTGCGTTCGCCAGCAGTGTCTCGCGCGTTTGCGGAGACGGGTGAGGATCCCAGTCTCGCGGCTGCTTTGTGCCCCCGATGATGGTGCCTCCGCCGAGGGGCCGCGGAATGCAGAATGACCAGCTGCCGTCGGTGTTTTGGCGCGTGAGGGTCATTGTGCAGGGGTTGCGGACGAGGCATGTTTGACCTGGTTGTAGTTAGTCGCCTGTTCGGTGGATAGCCGCAGTAGATGTAAGCTTGGATGGCTGGTACACACCTCGAATAATAAACGACTTGGGATCCCCAAACCCCATCCCCGAACAATTGACCACCGTCTTCACATTCCCCGCCATATGAAACGCCTCCATCACATCCCCCAACGTATACTCCTTGGTCTGCCCCCCCTTGAGCACAAACTGCCGCAGCAGCCAAGCACAATACACAGGCGAATTGACCGCCACCGACTTATACTGCACGCCCCATTTCGTCGGCGCGGGACACTCCTCCGCCGTCAGCTGGCGGAAGCCGTCCAGATGCGCGTACGCATTGCGGATGTTCTCCGGGTCGAGGTATTCCGCGGGCGGATTCTCGAGGTGTTCGACGCCGTCGACGATCTGCACGCCTGCGCCGGGCTCCTGTGCGGCGACGGTCTTGAAGTGCTTGTATGTTTGCTGCGCTTGTTTTTCTTCGCGGACTGCTTGGGGGGTGGATCCTGGGACGGGGCGGTAGTGCGCGCCTGCCCAGGGAGATGCGTAGTTTAGTGAGGTCGTGTTGGGGAAGTCTTTGGCGACTATTAGGACTTGTTGGGTGCGTTGGGTCTCTTGTTGAAGACGAAGGGCGGTCGTGAGGCCGAGAACGCCGGCTCTGATGTTGTTAGTTGGTTGTAGTTTATATAGGCAGTGGAGGACTGGATGTGTACCCGACAATAACGATCGTCTCTTTTCCCTGTGCCATTTTGAAAGTTGGGGATGGGCTCTGTGATCGAGTCATGGGGAATGGGGGAAATCGTGGGGTTATGAGTCTCTCCGATAACTACTTAATTAGTCCCCGGCCCGCATTCAACTATGGATCCCTCCGCGATCGGGAATGGTGCGCCGTGATTAGGCGGTTTCTTTTATGTCATACGATGCTTGGATGCGGCATTTTATCTGGTTGTCTTGTCGGTAGTGAGATTAATGCTATTCAGTAATTGAAATTTGTGTTGATGGGGTGTCTTATCTATGACTCCGAGTTGGGCGACGTCCCGCCATTTCTTTACTGATGCTTCCCGTGGGTATTCGACAGCACAACTACTGGTAGAAAATGATCTACATCTACAAGACCGAGATAGTAACCCCAATGAAGACAGATTCATTTGTTATCGTGAGTCATAATAAGTCAATTGTGCAGTCCTAGTATTCTATCCCCCATCGTACTCCAAGATGATATAGTATATGCTCAGGAGCCACCCGGCTCTTATCCGCTAAATGGAACACGAATTGGGTCCGAAGCGACCTGACTGAACACGGAGGCCACCGTAGTTTGATAATAACCAGGGCAAGCGAAGCAGTCGGCAGCCCCTGAGCAACTCCGCTGTCCGACGCCCAGCAAGTATACTCAAGTTCTGGATTTTAAGGAGAAAGTCCGGATTCGGAGTTTTCGTATTGGGTATCAAATCATGCGTCTCAGCCTCGTTCATTCAAAGTGGTCAGGGAGCTTCTCAATGGTGAATTTCCCTCTGGCGACCTTCATCACCGGCACACCGGGGATCTTGCGGATCCGTCGAACGAGGTCCTTATCGTTGGTCGCCACGATGTAGATGCGATGTTTCGTTATCTATTCCGCAGTCAGTTATCCCATTCGCATGAAATACGATACACCACCTACCCGGTCGACAATACAGTCATCCGCATAAGTACCCGAGTGACTGCACCGAACTCGCTCCCATCGGGGATCCTTGGCCATCCGCAATGCAAGCCGGAACTTGTCGCCTAGCTTTTCCAACTCCGCAATCGTGCAGTCCGTAAACGTCGGGATACATTTGGCGTACAACCTGGTCAACGATCAGCGCCCGGCCATACGTCCCACCCAACGTGAGCCTTACAAATCCATCATAGATGTGAGCAGATCTTGCTTTGTGCGAATAGCGTGGGAGACGAAATTGGTATCGACGAGGACGTGGTAGGGAGGACCGAGAGCGGTGTTGGCCGTAAAGAACATGTTCGACGGGGCTTGCGGAGCCTGTGTTGTGAGTTCGTCTTTCGGCTTCTCTTCTTTGGCGCTGGCCGGGGGGTTCTTCACACGCTCATCGCGCTGTTTGATGGTGCGTTTCACCTAGCGCAGTCAAGTTAATAGGTGCCTCGATCGCAGTCGTCGTGAGGAGATTTACCTGGGCGAACTTGCGGGTTTTCTTTTGTACACCCATTGCGACACAGTATAGAATGAACAAGAAGTGGAGATTGACAAGAATAATGTGTACGATCAGGGATAATCAAACTGACGATGTCATGGATTGTATGGCGAGAAATATTCTACAAAATCTTCCGGCCCGACTTATCCCCGTATCACCACGTGATCTTATCGCTATCGCCGTGTCAAATCACATGACCAGACCCCAGTACAGGTCACGAGACGAGTCGGGGATTATTCCATTCGAACTGATGGAGAATAAAACAGTTGAATCAACTAATTTCTCCGAGTTATCACACCGTCTATCATACTTTCATCACTTCCCTCAGCCAGTGTACTGTGATGTGGTGACACAGCTGCATCCTGAGATCTTGACTCGTTGCTTTGCTGTTTCAGGTGACGGATTTACAATTTCATTCTGACCGGCAGGTATAGCTAGCTAAAGCTATCGTTCTGGATTCTCCATCGCTCTAGACAACTGCGTCAAGATCCAACGAATGAAACCTGGTCCACTCTTGGTATTTTGAAGCTCGAGTCCAGGCCCCATCGTTCGTTGACACGGTGATCAGCCCCAGAGCTCTGGAGGCTTGACTGTCACATCGGCCAGGATGCGCCGTCACGGTCTGAGCTCTCAAACATCCCCGCATCAACAGCACTAGCCATGCCACAGTCACAAAGCTGTTTGCCGATCACATCACCCTGCGTCCACAATCAACTGAAGGATTCGTGATAGACTTGAGCTTTGTCTTATCGATGATCCTTTTTCCATTCGTCTTATTCAGTTCATTATATTCCTTAATATTACCGTTATTGGTACTGGTCCTTTTCTAAACACCCGGTCTGTCGCTCGGAACCCTGTCAAGGTGCTTTGATACGCAGGTGTTCTGCGCTACCATTGGGATGGTCGGAGGTCGGATTGAAATGCTGTTTGCTTGACTAGTGATTACTGATAACGATTTGTATTCGATGCCTACCATTGGCGTATTTGGTTATGAAACAGGCAAGGACATCGACAGCTGCAGGCTCATGGATCTGATATGTAGTCGCCCTGATCTGGGTTTTAGTGCACTTACGTGGAGAATCATCCTTTCCACCAACGGCGACCTCTGAGTGAAATACGACCGCTCTTCTTCGCACGTCCATCCCAGTTAGCATCTGCTGCTGCTTTGTCGTACTTCGCAATGGTCGCAGGGTGTGATTCGGTCGGTGGTATTTCTAACAACCGCCCTTGGGATATTAACAGCAATCCTTCCCCAGCACTACGGCCTGCGATTGGGGAAGCGGGTCGTGATCACTCTCCACCAGTCCAAGCACAATGCTCGAAGGGACCTAAATACGCGCCCAGATGGTCAGTTGAGGTCAGTGAGGGGCCTTGTGTGGATACTGATTGGCGGAAGGCTGTGATGAGACTTGCAGCATGAAGAAACGCCTTCTGCACTCCCGCGGCCAATAAGGGCCCATCATCACCCGAATCCCCGGTGGGCACCCGCCCGAGAGCCCATGCAGAACGGCCGGATGTATGCAAACCCTTTGCACTTCCTGCCATCCTTTTTGCTATTAATACCACGTTTTATTTTATTATACCTGATTTCATTATTTCGATCGCTGACGTCCCGCCATGCCTTCGCTAGTGTGACCATTGGCCATGGGTCTCTTGTCGTTCAGGCTTAGTCGCAAACTTTCTGCTCCAATCCTCCGTACATGCTGAACTAATTGGTCTTCTAGCTGTAGATTAAGCCAGGGCATGATCACGGCCCCGTACCTATAGAGATCCCT